ACCTCACATGCAATGCAATCCTAAGTGAAATTCCAGCAGCATGCTTCAGGGACCCTGAGAAAACAATCCAAAAATTCTTTTGGAACAAAAAGAGACCTAGAACAGCAAAAGCAATTCTAGGCAATAAAGATAAGGTAGGGGGTATCACAATCCCCAACTTGAAATGATACTACAAAGCTACTGTGATAAAAACAGAATGGTACTGGCAAAGAAACAGACCCAAGGACCAGTGGAACAGATTAGAAAATGCAGAAACAACTCCAGACATACTAAGCCACTTCATCTTTCACAAAGGAGCCAAACACCCTCAATGGAGGAAAGATAGCCTCTTTAATAAATAGTGCTGGAAAAACTGGGTTTCAACTTGCCAAAGATTAAAACTAGACCTATATCTCTCACCATGCACTCAACTAAAATTGAAACAGATCAAAGACATAAATATTAAAACAGAAATATGAGGGCTGGAGATTTAGCTCAGTGGTTCCACTGCCTGCCTCGCAAGAGCGAGGTCCAGAGTTTGATCCCCAGTACCAAAAAAAAAAAAGAAAGAAAAGAAACCCTAAAGCCAGCTGGAGGAGAGGTTGGGTAGAACTCTGGAAGACATCAGTGTAGGAAAAGATTTTATGAACAAAACCTCAGTTGCCTGTGAACTAGCACAAACAATCAACAAGTGGGATCTCTTCATATTAAAAAGCTTCTGCACAGCAAGAGAAACCACCAACAGAGTAAAGAGACAATCCACAATGTGGGAAAAAATTTTCACCTGCTGTTCCTCAGACAAAGGTATACTATCTCGAATCTATAAAGAACTTAAAAACAGCAGAAAGAATTCCCAAGAACTATCCTAAAATATAGAAGGAAATACACCCCCACACACACCCACATACACATTCACCCTCTGAAGGTTGTTCTGTAGTTAAGAGGATTTAAATATTCAAATTATGTTCCTGGGACGGGGATTTAGCTCAGTGGTTTCGCCGCCTGCTGTGCAAGCACAAGGACCCGAGTTCGATCCCCGGTACCAAAAATAAAATAAAATAAAAGCAAAATCATGTTCCCCAGTTCAACAGGCTGTATCCAGAAGGTAAATCTTAAATATAAATACCGTAGTTTTAGAATTAGAAGAAAAGAAAAAGAAAAGCTGCACATGTGATTTTGTAAGATGAGCCTGAATCATAAAATGGGTAAACAATAAGCTCCTATCCACAAATGACTCCAATTGAAGATTAGTTAATAGATGCTACCAAATGGACATTTAAAACCTTTTTGTGTGTTTGTTGAGGAAAGAGTCCAGGTAATCTACTCATGTGTATTGAGTCTCTACTACATACAGACCACTCAACTTGGCTCAATACCAAATATGATGTACAGTTAGAAAGATACACCCAACTACACTCCATGCGGATCACCTCCAACCCCAAATGTAGCATCAAATATTCTGTCAACTCTATTTAAATTTATCTGTAAAGTGTTCTTATTTTCATTTTTATGAATTGTGTACAGATATTGGTGAATCAGTTTCCAGCTTCAAAGTAAAATGAAAAGCTGGAAAAGACAAGAAATACAAAGCCATGAATAAAAGGCTTAAAACTGGTAGCATAAAAGCAAATTATTTTAAGAGATTTTTTAAAAAATAAAAATTCCCAGATGCCATAGAAGATTTTCTCATTAGAATTTCCAAGTGTGAGATCTGAATATACATATTTTTTGAAAGACTCACATGTGATAAATGTGAATTTTGGTTTTAAAGAAGTCACCAAATGACATCAAGTAAAGTAGAACCTATTCCTATTGCGTAGGAAGACATGAATTTATAAAATCTTCCAATAATAGGGGTTTTTTTCCTTTTAGCAGATTATGACATCTGAATCTTCAGCACCAGTCTATTATCTACTTAACAGATTCTTTTTGTTTTTAATAACTGCCCACACTGTTACAATTGATAAAATCTCTGTAGCATTCCAGCAGCCACATGTAAGGGAGAAAAGCTTTCACAACAGATGATCTACTGCAGTGTACCACCTGTACGTCCTGGACATGTAAAAAATGATCCTCCCTCTGTCCTTATCTTGTGAGATATGCTAGACACATTTGAGTAAATGACTTTTGTTTATCAAGACTTAGTTTCATAAAACAATGCTGAGATTCCACCTCACTCCAGAAAGAATGGCTGCTATCATGAAATCAACCAATAACAAATGCTGGCAGGGCTGTGGGGAAAGAGGAACCCTGCTCCACTTCTGGTAGGAGTGTAGACTGGTGCAACCACTGTGGAAATCAGTATGGAGATACCTCAAAGAACTAGGACTGGAAGTCCCATTTGACCCTGCTATTCCACTGCTGGGGATCTTCCCCAAAGAATTAAAAGAATCATACCACAGTGATATATGTGCACCCATGTTCATAGCAGCACAGTTTGTGATAGCTAAAACTTGGAAACAGCCCAAATGCCCATCAACTGGAGACTGGATAAAGAAAATGTGCTTTGTTTTATATAAAATAGAGTACTACTCAGCCATAAAAAATGAGGAATTAGAGACATTTATAGCTAAGTGGATGCACATTGAGGCCATACTCTTAAGTGAAATAAATAGGACATACATGTGTAAATACTGAATAGTTTCTCTAGTGTGAGAAAATGAAAATATAAATAAGGACTAAAAGGTATTAGAGATAATGTGAAATAGGAAGAAAAGGGACAAAGGGGAAGGGAAAAAAGAGGGGTAGGGGAAAGGAAAGAAGGGAATGGAATTAATATGAGAAAATGAAAAAATGGAAACAAAGTCTTTGTAAATAGGGAGGGATGGAGGGGTTGAAGGGAGGGCAGGAGAAGGGGTAAAAATAAGAACCAAGAGAGATTATGGAAAGGTGCAAATTTCCAATGATGAATGTCATTATATTGTAACCCTAAAATGTACCAATAAAATTTAAAAAAAAATTTTAAGACTTAGTTTCATAGATAAGATGATAGAGGTAGATGATGAATTGACAGATGATAGATGATAGATGATAGATAGATGATTGATAGATAGAGATAGATAGATAGATAGATAGATAGATAGATAGATAGATATGTGTGTGTGAATGCCTGAAATACTGATTCTTAAAATGTAGACCTCATACCACACTGGGTGCTTCTAAAATTTTTTTAAATTTCTGAGCCTTACCCCAGATGCAGCAAGTCAGAATTTCTGGGAGTGAGGCATAAGAGTGTACATTTTATATCAGCTACTCATGCAATTTTCCTGCATACCACTGTTTACAAAACACTTTAGATGCTCTCTGAGATCTTTTCAAGTTTAAGTTTCTATATTAGTCAATCATCATTCAAGAATACAGTATGAGATTGCTCAACTTCCATTGGTTGCTTTAATTGCTGAAAATTCCCTTTACTTTCCCCATTCTCTTCTAACTTACATGTTTTTTTTGTTTTTGTTTTTGTTTTTGTTTTTTTGGTACTGGGGATTGAACTCGAGTCCTTGAGCTTGCGCAGCAGGCAGCGCAACCACTGAGCTAAATCCCCAGCCCCTAACTTACATGTTTAACTCATTTTCAGTCCTCAACATGAGTTACCATTGGCTACTAGAACATTCATAGCTGGAGATATTATTTCTTGCAATGATACCTATTATTATTAAAAAGGAAAATAGGATGCAATTAGATATCCTTGAAATTTATGTTTTCTGAACTTTTATTAAAAAAAGATGTGTGTTGAATGAAATATGTTGGAGATAATACTCTCTTCTGAAGTGATCCTTCCAAACAGCTTTTACATTCATAGCTACAAGGAGAATCATGTGCAATATGACCACTTAAAAGCTACAGTATTCAATAAAAAGTGGAGTTCAGCCAAGTCCTCCATCACTAAGAATATTTGTACTGTACATAAAATATTTTCAACAGGAGGACTAAGGTATTTTTTATTTTCCTTATAAAAGGGACACTGCTCTCCTCTCTAAAGGAAATAGACAGAGGCTGATATATCTTCAGAAATATTCATTATAGCTCATAACCCTTAATAGTGAAACTCACTACCTGATATTGATTCTACAAAGATCATGAAGCTTCCTGTCATTCTGTCTAATGTGGGTTCTTCTAAGCTATAAAGTAGACACCTTACATGATTTGATATAGGTGATTCATCACTTTACCTAAGACATTGTCAGACTCCCAGAGGATGCATATACTTCTCAAATAATATTCCAGAGTCCTTAAATAGGGGACAACATACTTTATTCTACAATCATTAGTCACCAAGAAAGATCACAGTGAATTTCATCTACACTAACATGGGAATAACTGAAAAAGTCTCTCTCTTATGCTAGGTTTTCTTGGGGAGGAGCAGAAGTCATGAGATGAGAAGGTGACCTGAAGCTATTGACATGGGATTGGATGTTCTACCAGATGCTCTAATTCCTAAAAAAATCCCTCCTTGCTTTCCCTGTCCCTTTGCAACCTGCATGCTTAATTAATTCACAGTTTGGGTAAAGTTCAAATAGAAAACTTTTTCAGCACCAGACAACCAAACACTTGACAGTTTATCACACCGGATTAAATACTATTTGCCTCCTCCTTGCTTCTGATGCCTGTGTGTGAGAACAATGAATCCACCTCCCCACCATTCGATGTATTAGAAAATATGTACACACCAAGAAAGAAAACCGCAGTTCAGAATGAGAATATGATGCAAGTTGAGACAAATTTATTGAAAATTTGAGAGACACGTCCATAACTTTTTCCTGACGAGAGGCATGAGTATATCTCAAGAGTAATGTGTGTCAAGTTGTCTGTCAAGTTTTTGAAATTGTCCCCACAAACATTGCCTTAGGCAGTCATCTTGAGTTATCATCTGGTTTCCCCATTTCCTCTTTGGGATTCTGATGCTAAGTCTGAAAAGCAGCCGCTTGGAGGTCGATGAGCACAAAAGAGGTAGATAGAGCAGGAACCTGGAGATGATGCTACTTGGCCTTTGAAGGAGAGAAGATTCTGTCTCGGAGACTTCAGTAGAGGGCAAATGGCCAGCAGCGTCTGTAGCCATAAGCTCCACAGCCGTTATAGCCGTAGCCGAGGCCATAGCCCGCTGGGGAATAGGTGCTGCCAAAGCCGCAGCCCACGCTGTATCCCAGGGGGTAGCCATAGCTGCCCCAGTAGCATCCGGGGAAGACAGAGCCAAAGCAGTTGTTGAAGTACATAGTGCTGGCAGTGGAGGGCTCAAGTAGCAGGAGAAGGGAGTTTGATGGATTCCCTGGTCTCAGAGCCCTCTTTATATACGCTGGCTCTAAGGTGTAGTGGGAAAGCACAAGGCCTTCATTTTCATTCTTGACACCAATTTGCACTACCAAAAGCTCATTAATTTGTTTTGCTCTTGTTTAATAATGCTCTCATGTGACGTAATGCGGGGAGACGATTCCTTCAAACACAGTATGTGCCTTGCTAAAAAAAAATTATTGCAATGACTTCAAAGCCCTTGGTCTTACAGATCCCGTATGTAATTCTCTGTAAGCAGGCTTTAGTAACGCCAGGGAGGATTCTGATGTTCTAGACTGTTATGTGGCCTCACTCTGAATTTCAACAATGCAGCATTGGAATTCAATAAATATGTGCTGGATACATTAATATATGAAATAATAAATCAATAATTAGCTCATCTCAAAAATGGAGGTAATTCTTAGTATTCAATTGCTTAAAGAATTATCTTTTGGAAGCATGCGAGACAAATGCTGTAGGGTTTACCAGAAATATTTCCTTTTTGAAACTTTCCATATACATCTACTCTGTTTAGGAAACTGGTTAAAAAATTAATCGCAGTTATAGTCATCCTTTAAACTGTATCCAACAACACAGTTCTAAACCACTGATTATACTAATAATCTTGCAATTAATAAATAGTGTGTGGATTAATCTTAAAATTGAGCATCAAACAAGTATGATTTGTTGATCTAATATACTTTTAACAGTAAATATGGAAAATAAAAACAAGGAAAAAAAAGAAGAACAAGTGAGAGATTTCATCCTAAAATGCAGACTATTTTTCCATTACATCTAACAAAGCCAGGTTATTTGACAACTGTGATGATCTTATGAAAGGTCATGTGAATACTAAATTAATATTATTTCATTTTTAGACTGATTGTGCACCCCAGGATAGAAAAAAAAATCATTCCTCTTTAAACAGATATTTAGTTCTCATTTATTTCCCTCTGGAATAAAGAAGAATTAAGATTGATCAAAATTATCTTGGCTCATGCAAGACCTGAAAAATTATTCCCAGGTGCCCAACAAGGGCGCTGATTGGAGAACTTTCAGAAAGCATGGCAAATGAGGGTACTGGCACAGAAAAAGAAAGGCAAAGGAGTCCTTCTAGGGGACTACAAAACATGTGTTACGTGCTGGCCCCAAAATTTTACTGAATATCCCAAAGGTAACTTTGTTCCTTCTTTCTGCAGAAAGCAGGGCCTGGGCTGAATCCAAGGTCAAGGTGAGACTCTTGGAGAAATACAAAATTATGCCAGCATTCTAACCACTAATTGGTTAATTACAGCAGAGGCATTTTTACAAACGCCTACAGTATTGCCCCAACACACTGCCTTATAAACAAAGATATGTAGCTACCTATGGTGATTCAGAATTTAAAACGCAAGCACTTCAAGTAGTTTATAGCTAAGTCAAGCCAGGGAATTAAAATTAGCTTTGTTCCTAAATATAAAGATATTCAACCTCTGATCATTCGCTAAGAGTCATACAATAATCTACATTATATTTCTACCATCATCATATTGCTCCATTTCACAATTAAAATACAGAACATTTGAGGAAAATGGCAATTTTAAAAGTTGCATTCATATAATGAAAAAAAAATGATTTGAGTTAATGCCAACATTCAATGATGATGACCTACTTAAATAAGTTCCTCTCCCACCTGCCCATTCAGTGTGACAAGATAACTTTGCCCTCTGTGGTATAATACACAACTTTATATAGGAGTAGAAATGGTGGATAAATATTAAAATATGCCATTGTTTTAAAAATGTAAATCTATATACAAGGAACAGTGAGGATTTTCTCTAAAAATTTCACAGAAAATTCTAACAAAAGGAGATGGTAGAGAAACACATTATTTATCAACAAATCATTATTCAAAAATGAAATTTTTTAAAAATAGCTACCTTAACCTTGTATAGGGTCGATGGAAACTTTATTTTCATGTTTTTGTTTTTGTTTTTTCTTTATTAAATTCTTTTATTGGTACATTGTAGGTATAATACAAAATTACATTTCTCACTGGGAATTGTACCTTTACACAATGCATCTTGGTTCTATTTTTTCTTTTTTTTTTCTTTTTCTTTTTTTTGTATTAAATTCTTTTATTGGTGCATTGTAGGTATACAATACAACTACATTTCTCATTGGGAATTGTACCTTTACATAATGCATCTTGGTTCTTATTTTTTCCCC